GATTTAGGCGGATTACACAATAGCCAGGCCTGTACACTCTTTAGTGTGTCTTGCTTGCGTATTCGGACGATCTTTATCGCATAACAATTCGTATGTGGCCTAATAGTTAAAGCTAGTTGAACGCTTCAGGTCCCTAGAATTCCCATCCATGTTTGACAATGTTTGACAAATCAGTTTTATGTATTGTGTTGTAATAGCATAAACAGAGTTTCGCCGTTCTTTCTTTTAAAACTTGGCCTGTCAAAACAGTTCTGCAATTGACTCAGTCTGAGAACTAATGAAGCAGTTTTTTATTTATCCAAATTGAATGATGTATGATATTTAACAATCATTAGTTTCGTTAACAGAGGTACTGGTGTCATCTCAAACTTTACCTATTGCTAGTCCTCACCACCGATCCTTCGCCTCATCTCATTTTGATCAATGTTTTTGAAGCTGATTGATTAACGGATCAATGAAGTATCAAAAATAGGATTGGATACCTAAAGATGTGTTCGTTCTGATGATTTTGCACAACATTGTTTTGCATCTTTCCATTTAACCTACAGATGACAATAGCTACATAAAAGCACGTGATTCTAGTATTCTGATCCGATTGCGTATTATGTTGATCATAATCTGTACTGTCTTTGTATTTAGTGTATTTGGTTTCGAATTGATGCACCAAAGGAACGGGGATGGGAGGCACCTTTTAGCTACATTATCCGGGTATTTCTTACGAGCAGATGGCCTTATCATCCTTACGAACCAAGACTATTCTACTATTAGTGTGCACAAACTTTACATCTTAATTATGCTCAGTGTTAATTTGTTATAAATAAAAATTCTCTTATTCTCTTCCGTTTGCTTTTAACTCGTCATGCTCTAGGTTCACCACTAGTGACGAAATGGCAGTATCCTGTACATTCTGAACCATTCCATCTGCTGAGTATAAACAAATCACGAAAATCACCGCTATAAAGACTCACCAAGACTTGTTTATTATTATTTGGAAAAAAATTTACTTCAGTATAAATGCTGTTGTCTATATGAACCCACACGTGTTTCACAGGGGCCAGTTGCTTCAGTTTCCATTAGACCTGTATATTATCCGGGTAAGTCTTTCACGCATATAGCGCTATCATCCCGATATGGCACCTACCTGCTAGCAATGTCGTTGAACTACATTGAGCAGCGGTTCACTCCGTACTATAGTGAAAATTGTGGGGAAACTATGTATCACAATTTTTCTACGTATTTAAATGTGTACTTTACGCTAGCTCTTTATATACTACAGAAAACAACAACTTGTAACTTGCTTAATCCATATCTCGAATAGCATCTACCCACAATGCGCACACCATAATTGGGACTCATCTAACTAATGGGGAAGAACAAACGTCAGTGAAGTACAAGTTAGGAGCGCCACGGTTCAGGATTTCGCCTCAACAGTTTCAACTCCGAGGCGGATCGAGTGTAGTGCAGTCGCATGCCCGCACACACACACACACACACACACACACACACACAAACCCGATCTGTCATCATGCGCATGCATCGATAAACCACCATCCATCCGTCATCGGCGCTAGTTTATCACAGTTTAATTTTATATTTCTTATAAATTCTTGTGCCTTTTGATGGGACGATCACGTGTTTCATGTAGTCCCTCCCGAAGAAAAAAAAGCACATCATTGTTCTCCATTTACGAACAATGAACTGCGCCGTGCACACATACAAGGTTACTATATTTTCCTCCTCCTCCTCCTCCCCTACAGAATTCTCGTTTTTTTACTGCCACATTCCTAACACGCAGAATCAATAGATTAATATTCACGTGTTCTCTGTAACTTTTATTCTCCTCCAACCACGACCTCTGATAAATTTATCACAACCCCCC